TACCTGGTTTACTGGACGCTGGATATAAAAGAACCTCCAAACTCTCCTGCTGTTGGGATGTCTGTATTTAATTAAGATATAATATGTTTCATACAGACACAGTCTATTGACCTACTTTGTTCAAAAAAGGAAACACTGAAATGAGGTGGTTTCTTAAAGCCAACTGAACAATTATGAGAAATAATGTAAATACCTGTCCACAAAGCCACCATATGACCAATGTCTTCTTTTCCTTGCCACCTCTGCTCCAGGCAGCATTAGGAAGGCATTCACCTGGGATGAGGGTTTTGAATGGTCACTAGGAGGAAGGAGAGTACAAGAACTGAATGTGTGCTGGCAGCATACGGTGCCCTTGGGGTCCCTATGGCTCTAGGAGAGAAGGGAGTGGTCTGGTGAATGCCAGGGGCTAATTACCAGAATTTTGGGGGAACCCTCATAGGCTAGCTTGATTCATTTTTCACTCGCAAAAGAAACACCCAGACAGTGAGGGGCAGACACCAAGAGCTTCCAGGGAGCACCCCCGAGGCCTAGGCCCAGGGCTGCAGTCTGCTCTGTACCGGGGAGGCCACGCCTCTGCTCACTGTGTAGCTCTTGGCTGGTGGGGTTCTTCACACTGCCTGTCCACTGTCCACCAAGGCCCCTGGCCGTGCCTCTCGGCTCTTGGGCTCTGTACTTTCAACCAGTTTTCAGCAGCCCATTTCAGATTGGCCTTTTTATGTTTGATATAAAGAATAGTTGTTGGCCAATTTCATCTTTTCATCACTGTTCTCCAGGCCTGAATCCAAGCAGTTTGTCAGATGCTCATTAACTCCCCCTTTGGCTCCCTCTGCTGTGTCTCCTAAGCTCATTGTGCCAAGAACTAACGCTTTCTTTTACACGGTTCTCTTTCTCTGCTCCATCAGGGAGACAAATTACTTTCCAAAAGGGATCGCCAGGGATGGTTTAATGAGAATTTCTTTGGGGCTAGGCATGGAACGCAATGTAGTTAACATTCGGTGGACTTAATTGGACTTTTCTTTTCTGCCTCTTTTAAAAAAATCTGAAGCTATCCTGTTAATCTCTCATTTGTAATCAATTGTGTTGACTAAACAAAAGTCTAGGTCGTCTTTTCTTCCTGTCCCAGACAATCCTTTGTTGCCTCTAAATGCCTCATTCTTGAGTGATCCTGGTCGCATAGATGGGCCCGATTGTTGACAGTTCATTATTGCGCTTTTGTCCATTTAATCTTTCTTGCTGTGTTTTGCATGTGCACGCCTTAATGAGCTCCGTCGGCAATTAACATGTTTCTAGGAGCGAACCGGTTGCTCAGACGTTTGAGAGGGAAGTGCAGGGAAAAGGGCAACGCAGCTGCCTTGAGGTTGTTTATTTCCCAGCATTTTCTCAAGACTCCGGTCCTCTCCGCGGCAGCCCCCTCCCTCTTCCCGCCCCTCCCCCCGACCATTCACCACCAGCACACCTGGCCACCCTGTTGCTGTCACTCGGGCTTGGCTCAGGCAGCCCCCTACCCTCTTGTGGGCCTAACAACAAAACGAGGACCATATAGACCCACTTCTGCAGCCAACGCAAGAACGAGCACAGTGCCCCCCAAAATGTGTCTGGATGCTGGCAACTTCTCTGTGTCGCTCTTTGCAGGGAGGAACCTCTAACCCGCCTAAGGCAATAGGATTGTTCAATCTGTTATGTACAAGGCTGTGGCTTTGGAAGAGGTTTTTTTTTTTTTTTTTTTTTTTTTGAGTCTTGCTGGCAAGATCGCTGAAGTGTGAGCAGTCATGGACAGAACAAACATCTTGTAGGGAAAAGATAATTGGAGTCTTTTTTGTGTCTGTGACAGGATTCCCCTCCCCCGCAATTTGATTTTTTTAAATTTTTTTAAAGGGCGGCCTCTTCGATTTAATCAAGGTTAGGAGTTTACCATGCAGCTGATGACTACCTTGTTTACGTCATTTATTAATGTCGCAAAGTACAAGTCATGCAAACAGTTTAATATTAAGAGGGAAGAAAATCAGTCAGGAAACAGCCTTTCACCCATCAATTCCGATGCATGGTGAATAACTAAGAAGGATCCCAGCTAAGATGGTAACTGAGAGGACATAGCGTTGGCTTCAGGAAGTGTGCTGGCTGTGAAAAGTATTTAGTAATCCAGGCAGAAGGTTCCCTTCTCCTTGCACTACCCTTTCGGGTGAAGGAATCCTTTCCTGAATCTCACACCTGAATGAGGCAGACATCTTTACCTCGGGAGGAATGACTTCAACCCTGTCGCAGGCAGAGCTAAGCCCTACAGACGCAGAAGACCTCCTTCTCGACAATTACCGCCAGGTGTGAAACAACACCTTCTCAGGTGAGAGCGATCGACAGGAGCCGGTGTGAAGGTTAAGGAACAATCGGGTCACGGGGAGACAACCCCAAGGAGGTCAGAAGGTACAAGAAAGTCCGCTTAGGGTTACCTCAGAACCGCGAGCCACTGCGCCTCTCCAGAGACAGCAGCCCGAGACCGAAGGCCTCCTACTCCACCCAACAATTTTATTTGCTGGCTCGTTTGCAAGCAACCAATTCCCTGGCCCTTGTCAGAACCGCCGCCTGAAAGCCAGTCTCTCCAGTTGTACGAGCTAGGTGACTCCTTGTTTCTTTCTCCTGTGAAAACTTAATTACAGAAGAGTTTCTCAGAGAAAGTTCTCTCACTCGATGGTTGGGGAGGTTATTTTCTTGGATGGAAATATTATTTATTTATCCTTTCTTTTTAAAGGGAAAGAAGAGACTTGACCCTGATTTTCACACGCAGGCCAACTCTTTTTTTCCTGCTTCGGAAAGGGGATACTTTTGCACTAGCTTTCTTGTGCTTGCCCTTTGCCCAACGTTCTGGAGCTATTTAGGAAAAAGGAGAGCTTGCCCGGACAATTGCCTGACCTCCAGGAAGCTTACCTGCACACGATCCTTTCCAGAACGCAATAAGGAAGAGATTGGGCTGAGACGGCTGTCCTGGGGACCCAAGATTCCCCAGAAATGGGGGGAGAGGCAGGGTTGCTAATAAAACTCTGTTTGAGAACAAGGAAAGGAGGTGACTCCTCAAAGTGGCCTGCAATCACCCTTGGATAGATGTCTGAGAAAAGCGAGGCAGATATTTCCATCTCCTTATCGGTCAAGTCCTCCTCACCCATCCTGGGGTTTCCTGGGGTGGTGGCATCCACCGAGATTTCGGAGTTGAATATGCATATTCCTCTGCGTCCCAGTCTTTCCACAGCGAACCGCAGCCAGAAAAGCTAACATTTAAATTCCCCCTTGCTTCCTCATCCCCCCCTCCCCTGGCTGCGTCTCCCCAGACTTGTTGGGGGGGGGGAAGATACAAAAAAACGAGGACGCTCTCCTTTCAGGAAATGGAATTCTAATGCACACGTTCCTATTTCTGAATCGGAGGTGCTAAAAATACCCCCGCGACAGCCTGAGGAAGCTGTCGCCGCCCTCTGTGCAAACAAAATCGGCAATTCTCCTTCCCGAGCGAGCGTAATGGGTCTGCGACTTGCGTGGGGGCCTGGGACTGAACCATTGGCTCTGACCAGGACAGAGCTTCCACCTTGCAGCCGAATATCTTTCCCGGGGCCCCGCTTCTGAGGTTCCTTCCTCCTCCAACCAAGAGGACTGAAAGCAGCTTTAGTTTCTGGAAGCCCAGGGTTCGAATCCCCTCCCTATCTAGCCCTGTGGCCTTGGGTATGCTATTTAGCATATCTCTATCTCAATTTCTTCGTCCATAAAATGGAATAATAATCTCTAGCTTGCGGGGCGTTATCAACATTCGAGAGAATGTGCGTGCCTGGTAAGGAGCAAGCGCTTGAGCAACGCGAGATTTATTATTATGGAAGACTCTAACGGGCTGAGCATTAAGCGCCTACTGTATACCAGGCGTTGGAATAACCCGCACTCAAGTCACTGTAAGAGTTACTTGAGGATTGTTCTTCGCACTAACCATCTTTCCCTCCAGACAGCCACCACCGGTGGTGGAAATCCACGTGGGTCAGCGCCCAGCCGCCCTGGTTTCCGCACTGGCTAGGCTGCGTGGAAACGCAACCCGGGCCCCGTGCCGCACTTCCTCCTCGCGCTGGGAAACATTGTTCCAGAAGACGTGGGCCGAATCGCCGCGCAGATATTAAAAGCGTGTAGGGGGAGGCCCCGCGCGCCGCGCCGGTAATCCGAGCTCTTGATTATCCAGATTCAGATCAAACGGGGCGGCGGCGGCCGGCCCCCTCCTGGGAATGATTAGATGATTAATGTAATGCTGTTTGAAGGGTCTCTGTTTTCTCTCTTAATTTGGGTCATTACTTAGAAAGTAAGCGTGAGATCATTTCATCAACGGCTCGGCGGCGGAGACAGCTATTCAGGAAGTGGGCTAACAGCGCGGTAATGTGCGCGCAGGCGGCGGGAGCCCCAGGAGCCCGGGCGCGCCCTCCCGCGGCAGGGCGCACAGCGTCAGAGACTCGGCGCGCAGGCCAGGGAGCCCGGGGCTCCGGCAGGGTTGGGCACCCTTCGTTTCCAGCTGAAGAGGCCTAAGAGGACTGACTGCGAGGCTTGCCACCCTCAGGGAAAGGGACGTGCCCAGAGGCGCCCCTGTGGGGCACAGCTCTGGCAGCTGACCGTGCGTGTGGAGCTGCTTTGCCCTCCAACGTACCCAAAGCCAGCTTCCCTCCCCGCACGCCACTTTCACCCCTTTTTCTAATTTTCCCACCCAATGGGGCAAAACCCAGAATCCCAAGCGTCGAAACAGTTGCTGAACAGATATCTGGTACCACGAGGAGGCCGTACGCAGGCTTTGCGACCACGACCCTGGGGTCTTTAATACGCAAGCGCCGCAACAACACCGATTTGACCTCACCCTGGCCCGGCGCCCCAGTCAGTCAGTCTCATTTTCAGGGAAGATGCTATAAATGCCTATTTCCTTCTCGTCCTCCGGGGTTGCTGGGCTGACCTCGCGGCGAGGGGACAGGGGGAAAGAAAACGCGCACTAATGATTCTGTTTATTGAGTCATATATATGTATCTATTCCGTGGTGGCTTGTACAGGAAAATTGACATGGCTGTATAAAGACGGCTGAGGGCGCCGCGGTCCTCCGGGGCGCTCTTGGTGACAGGCTGGGGTTAACACCAGCCGCCCGCGAAGCCGAGGCCTGGAATTCAAATACGTTGCGGTGCACTGGATTTAAATAAGTTTCCTGAATATACAAAGGTGGGAGCCACGCGTTTGCTGCCAGTCATCGAGGAAACGTTTAGCTTTCCAAAAATACGCTGGTTTCGATAAATAGATTCTAGCCTCTCTGCTATAGTTTTTTTTTTTTTTTTTCCTCCTTTTAATTTCAGCAGTAAGCTTATGCGTGTGATCTGTTTTGGGGTGGGACGGGGCTGGAAAGGAGGGAGAGGCAGCAGCTCTCAGCTCTGCACTGTCCGAGCCAAGTCCTTTGCGCAGGGAGTGGCGGGCCCCACGCTGTCGTGGAGTTTGCGCACGTGTTTCTTTAAGTCAAAGTTTCTGCAAAACCCTTTGCCGCAAGTGGCGCACGTGAAAGGCTTCTTGTCGTTGTGAGTGTGCATGTGAAAGGTGAGGTTGTAGACCTGGTGAAAGGCCTTGTTGCAGATGGTACATTTGTACTGCTTCTCGCCGCTGTGGGTCAGCTTATGGTTCTTGTAGTTCCCTATGGGAGACCAAAAGAAAAAAAAAAAAAAAGAAAAAAGTAGGGGGGATGGGGGGGCGTCCCGGGGCGGCTCAGTGCCTTCGCAAAGAAGGCGACGCTTGGTTAGGCGGGCCGCGACCTCTCCGAGTGAAGAAGTTGTCAAACTTCGTCTGCGTCAAGCCTAGGGCTCTCCCCACAGGCCCGAGGGCCGAGCCCCGTGGGGCAGCCTCGAGCCCCTTCCCCACCCGGCCCCGAGGGCGGCGCAGCGCCCCGCCCCGCTGCCGTGCTCGGGCCGGCCGGGAAACTTGGGCCTGCTCTGCTCCTTCTGCCGACTGCCGCCTGGCTCGAAGACGTTCGCACGAACCCGGGCTGAACGTTCGCATGAACCCTCCTTTTTTTTTTTTTTTTTTTCCCTTCTCATTTTTAAAGTTACTCCTTCTCGTCCGCCAAACACCACCTAGGGATCCAAATTTGCTTCGGGAAATCTGAGCTGGGAGCCAGGCCCGGTGGCGCTGGGCTACGGAGCGGTTTTGCCCGACTCCTGAATCGTTCCCAGCACGTGGATTTTGCCTCGAACTGTACTCGTTTGAAAGCAGAGTCCCAGCTACAAAGGGAACCTTTTCCTACTGGGCAATACCCCTTTCTTCCTGTTTCCTTCTTCTCTGCCCCCCTCTCCCTTTCCCCGAAGTCTGAGTCTCCCGGTGCACCCGCCCTGAATCCACGAAGTCTGCTAACCCGCCTCCGAGAGCTTCCACCTAAACCCTTCAAAACCCGAATCCGAAGAAATGCCGCGCCGGAGCCGGCGGCTCTCGCGCCCCCTCTCCCCGGATCCCTCTTCGCCTTCCCACCAGCCGCGACCCGCCGAGTCTCGAGGCGAGGAGAGGCCCTCGCCTGGCACGGTACCTTTTTGGTGAAAGCCTTTGCCGCAAAATTCGCAGACGAAGGGCTTGTAGCCGGCGTGGATGCGGATGTGCGTATTGAGCGTGGAGCTGCGGTTGAACGCTTTGCCGCACTGGTTGCATTTATGCGGCTTTTCCTGCGGAGAAGAGCGCGTGCAGAGTGAGGTGGCAGCCCTGGCGGGAAGCGGCCATCTCGGGGACGCATCGAAGGGACACGGGCCCCACGGAAGGGGTAAGGCGGAACCCTTGGCCATCCTGTCTCCAACGCCGACGCTCAGGCGGGGGGCTTGCCCGCGGCCGAGCCCGGCCCGGGGCCCACGTACCTGCGTGTGGATAATTTTGTGTCTGCAGAGCGTGCTGGCCTGGCGGAAGCCTTTGCCGCAGACTTTGCACACGAACGGTCTGGCTCCGGTGTGGACCGGCATGTGGCGGGTGAGGTTATAGTGCGCGTTAAACACCTGTGGGGGGACACGAGGGGGCCTTGTAGGGCGTCGGAACAAGGGTCTAGAAGCAGCCCTGGGAGGCCACAACCAACCCCAAACAACACCCCCCCCTTGAGAAACCAGAGCCCCTTTCAGTTTGCAAAGCTCTTCCCAACCTGCTGGTCACGTCAGTCCTGTGTGGCCGCCGCCAAGGGCCGTCCCCATTTTACAGAAGAGGAAACTGAGGCCCAGCTAGGCCCCCAATTTGAGTAGGCAGATACGGGAAAGCTGCCCAGCTTGACAAGGGGGGGGGGCGGCGTTCCAGGCCGCCCCAAGGGAGCAGCCGCTGCCGGTCGCCCCGGGGACCCCGGGCCTCACCTTGCCGCACACCTCGCAGGTGAAGTTCTTGGGCTTGCCGTCGGAGGAGCCCCCGGGCAGCTTGCTGTGGCCCTTGCCGCCGCCGCGCTCGGCGGTCAGGGCCGAGTTCTCCTTCAGCACCTGCTCCAGCGGAGCGGGCAGGCGCTCTTTGTGGGGGTAGGGGGGCGGGTGGGGGAACTTGTCCGCGGCCAAGCTGGCCAGCTTGGCGTTATCCAGCAGAAAGAGCTTCGGGTGCGCGGCCAGGGCGGCGGGGGCCTGCGCATTGAGGAGGCCGGAAGGGAAGAGGTGGCTGCGGAGCAGCTCGGAAGGCGGGTAGGCGGCCGAGTCCAGGTAGTTGAAGTAGTAGAGTGACCCGCCGGCCGGCAGCCCCACGGCCTGGTTGATCACCTGCGGCTTGATGACCCTGCCCGCGGGCAGCGCGGACGGCGCCATGCCTAGCTCGGCCTTGCAGCACACGCCACAGTTGGTTTTGCACAAGCCGCTGGCGCCGCACACTGGGGTCCCCCCGCCACCGCCGCCACCTCCTCCTCCGCCGCCGCCGCCGCCCGCCCGGAGGCTGCTTTTCCAGAGCTCGGAGTAACTGAGTAGCGTCTTGGACGGCACCTCGTAGCCCAGGGGCTGGAGGGGGATCATACAGGGCAGAGGTGAGCAGAGATTGATCAGTTTCTTGCCCTGGCCGCCGTCCGCCTCCAGCACCCCGGGCCGGGGCTCAAAGGGCGCGCGGGGCTCCGACGTCTTGGCCATGATGCGCTCTATGGAGAAGGCCAGCGTCTTGGAAGTGGCCGCCGACGCTCCAGCGCGCGGGCAGGCCGGGGGCACCATGGTCTCCAGGGAAGCCGAGCTTGCCATGGCGCACGGAGCCGAGCCGGACTCGGCCGGGGCGCAGCAGCTCTCCTCTAAGTCTGCATTCCGGAAAAGGCAGGGTGTGGGGCGGGGGGGAACCGCAATTTAATAAGCACCTTGTCGGGCCCGGGTCACCTATTTGTATTCAAATGAACAGAGGCAGAACAAAGTGCACCCAAGGGTACCAAATTACTGCCCATTAACCCGGCGCGCAGAGGAACCTACCGGCCCCTACCCCGGGACTTTGAAACGCAGAAGGGGGGGGGGGAGGGTTACAAAGGAAAAGGAGAGGAAAAAAGAAAGAAAAAGGAGGCTCCAATTACCCCCCAAGCCGTTCCCTGCATCCTGGCCTCCACCACGCGAGCTGGGAGCTGGACAGTGAAGGGGCAAAGTTAGAGGACCGAGAGAGCCACCTCGCATTTACCTCTTTCCCCCACCGCCAAGGAGATGCGTTCCGAGCCATGAAGCGTGTCTTCTCTGTCACATTTTGATGGCAAACATCTTCCCCTCCGCGTGAGATCACTGTCTTTTACATTCAGCTGACATCACATGAAGTCACTTGAAGTGGAATGACATGGGCGGCGGCGCGGCTCCCGTAGCGGCCCCCGAGTTCCCCCGCGCCTGCCGCCGCCGCCCCTCAAACTTTCAAAGGAGGCAACTGGCGCCCGCACTCCCCTCGGGCAAGTGCGAGCGGTTTGCGAATCGGGAAGGAGGGAAGAGACGGGAGGGGGAGGGGGAGGAATCGTGAGGGTTTTGCCGGTGGAAAGGGGCGGGGGGGAGCCCAAACCCAGGCCTAAGCAGAGTTCCGTATGTGATTCACAACTTTGGGGGCCTACAGGTTTAGGGGATGCGAGGAGGGCGGGGGCCCCGGACGCACCGCCCTAAAGGGGTCCCTGGGTGTCCGTCTAGTCACCGAAGTAGCCCTCAGCCCTCCGCAGCCGAACTGGGCATCGTGCTAATAAACTGCCATTTACCTACGGAGCGGGCGCCAGCCCCGAACACGCGCAGATGATAATTACCTCATTAGGATGTGGCGCATGGACGCCGGCGCCGCGTTTGGAGGGGGGAACTTGTTAATGGGGAAATATTAATTTATGCAGAAGCAACGAGCTCGCCCCGGCTGGCGTCAGAGGTCGGGAGATAGCTCCCGCCGCCCAAGGACGACCTGGAAGTGCCTAAGGAGCAGGACTGCGCGCCCAGATCCCTGGGGTCTCGGCACCCGGCGGGGGCGCCTCCTGCTCTCTAGCCGGTCCTCTGCCCGCGGCTGGGGGAGACTACTAGACGAACTGGGGGGACTGTTTGAGATCCTAATCGATCAGAATCGCAGATTTGCGCTCGCGTTTCTAAGGCAAAGACGGTTCTGCTGCTGGTTTGGGGCTGCGCGCAGGGAGGATTCCGAGGGCAAGCTCTCCCCGCTGCTGAGTACTTACTGTTTGTATAATTGAGAAGGTCCAATCTCCACCTGTTTAAGGAACAGATTGAAACGGCAGAACCTCCCCTGGATCCTATTAAAACGTTTTTCCTCCTAAAGCCATTCAGTCGAACCAATTTTCGGAGGTGATTCATAGAGCTGAATTCTGCCAAGGCCGCTCTTTCACTTGTAGCCACTAAAGCACCGCGTGGAACCGGGTTTTGTGTTTTTCTAAAATAAAGAGAAGGATTATCAGAGGGGAGAGGGAGGGGGCCTGAAGGGGGCGGGCAGGACTCAGTGTGGCCAGAGGTGCAAGCAGAGGGAAGAAAAGGCCCTTTTCTAGGCAGGCCCCAAGTAAGTTCGGAGGAATTCAGCGTTTTGTGCGGAGCGCACAAAAGCAGCGCGCTCCGTGCTCGGTTTGGAGGGGCTGAATTCATCTGTTTGCAGACCATTCCACCTGCGTATCACAACAAACTGCTCACAGACGCTCCAGCACTTTCAACAGGCCGGGTGCTCCTGGCGACAACAAAAGTGGTCGAGGCTGAGGGTTCTTGGGGTGGGGGGTGGGGGGGGGGGGGCGTCTAGCAAGAGCGCGCGCGCGAGAGAATTAGGTTTAGGAAAGGAGGAGGAGAAGATACAGAGGTTTTTGAAAACTTTTGGCCGGTTTTGTTCACGGGACAATTATATCTTGCCAGCCGGCTTTTGCAAGACCACGAGCTGTGTAGCCGCAACCACAGTTTAAGAGGATTACGGTGAGTATAATATGAGCAAACAGGGTTGAGGGTTTGATAGTGAATTCCATCTCCAAAGACACACCATCATGTGGAGCCCGAGAAAGGGCTGCTGGAGGCAAACCCTCTCCTCCACTCACCAGCCGATCTTGAGGGGTCAGAATATCCGGCCCCAAACCCCCGAACGCTTCAAAACACGCCCGGAAAAGCGGCAGGGGAAGGGACAAGGAAAGGTCTAATTTTAACTTCAGTAAATCACTCCCTCTCCCCCTTCTCAACTTCTTTCCTCCTACCCACCCACCCAGTTTTGACTTCTCTGACGCTCAATCTCGGACAGGACATTGACATGGCAGGTAAAGGAAAAGGAAAGTGTATTTGGAAAGCCAGGAAGGGGAACAAAGACAGGTCTGAGAGAGAAAGTGGCCTGGAGGGCCACTTAGCCTTGGGTTAATTTTCTCACTCTGCCAAGACTCAGAGGCTCGGAATCTGCCTCTAAATTCAGCCACCAGAGTCTGTCCCCCTAAAAGGCCCCCCTCCAACTTCCAGATATGTTGCTAGACAGAGGCTTGCTCCTCTTGGGGAGAACACTTCCCTACAGCCCATTTAATTTAGGAGATGTTCAGGGAGGCGGACTTCCAGACCCAATGCACCCCCATCCCCAAGTCAATGTGAAATCCACAGCACAGGTACCCCCCCTCAAACATGAAACAAACCAACAACTCACCCAACACTGAGACAATGTCAAGACAGGCACCATGGTCTCAAAACCCGAATTTCTATCCCGACCTTCCTATGGAGCCCCGTGCAGCCACCAGCACCGCATCCCACCCCCCTTTCCAAATTGGATAATTGTCGATCTCGGCAGCAACTCCAAAGATCTGCTCGTTTGAAAGCTCCATCAGACTGAAAGGCTTCCCGTGAACCTGCCTCGCCATCCCTAAGTGCTTTTTGTGGTTGCATAAACCACCTCTCTCTACCCAGCATCACAAAGGAGTGCTACCTCCACAGAAAGAAAACATTTGGGTAAAAACAAGTTGCCCCTAATGTGCCTCTCTTTCCAAATGTTGGGTGAATACACTGGCTTTTATGAAAGTATTTAATTAGCTTCCACAAACTTCTCCTTCCCTCGCCGCAGATTATACTGAAGTGGAGGGTTGGAAACTATTTTACACCTTGCCACTCACATGTTAATTAATCTCTATCTAACCCTAATTGCAGTTTATTCAAGCACCGCTCAACAGCTCACCCACACAATAAACACTGATCCTACTTTTATACATATTACTTCACGTTAACACATTGAGTAATTAACTCCAGTACCAACTAATAGTGCAAACAAATATTTTCTGTAAACGAGATGATTTCAGGCAGAATAATAGAGGACTGGGGAAAATGTGGCGAATGGTTGAGGGAGTGCTGAGATTTCGATTCGCTGTCCCCCAGCCCTCCAAATTAATTTTCACACGCAGCATCTTTTTTTTTTTGGAGGCTGAAACGCCTGAGAGAAAGAGAAACTAAAGGCATTAAACACTGACAATTTCACAAAGTTGATGGAGGGGTATCTGTGGGATTGAGGGGTGACTTGTTTTTCTACCTATACATTTTCAGTGGGGAGGAGGGAGTCCAAAATATCTCGATGCCGAAAGCAACCCGAGGCTCCAGGGATAAGCAGATGATGTTAGGCACATGGATCCATCCACGGAAGGTAAAGCTTTCCAAAATCTCCCCTCTAAGGAAGTCCTGCCCTTCAGACGAACTGTTTTCCGATAGAAGGGGACAGACAGCGAGGTGATGGGCGGGAAGCCCCAGTCTCTCTGCCCACCCCGACGGGTACACAAGTCCCGCTTTGGACGCGCCGGGGCTGGGCCTCCGCACTCGCTTCGGGGTCGACTGTGGGTCGGAGCGGCCCCTTGAGCAGGAGGCGAGGCCGCGGCCCAAGCGAGGCCCACTAGGCCGCAGGCCGCTCCGAGGAGCCCGACAGCCCGCCCCGCTCGACGGCTGGGATGCGGCCCTTCGCGCTCGGCCCGCCGGGCCTGGGCCCACCATGGCGGCCCGCGGGGCTGATGTCCGCCCCGAGGCCTCAGCTCCGAGCCCGTCTCCCTCGCGCCTCCCCTGCCGGCGGCTCGACGCCATCTTGCCCACGCTCGGGCCTCCACGCCGGGCCGCGCGGGGAAGCATCGCGAGAGTTAGGCCTGGCGCCCCTCCGCGGTCTGCGCGCTTCCCGCGCAGCGGGGCCGGCGCCGAGGCCAGCGCGTGTGCGCGTGCGCGGCCCGCTGCTCCGCGGGGCCTGGCCGGGGCCGCCACCTCCAGGCGCTGCGGCGTGGGAGGCCGCTCCCGGGTCAAGCGACTCGCGCACCCTGATTGGGGTCCAGGCTCAACCGCAAGGACAGGAGCGCAGTGTTTTAATTGAAATCGCAGGTTTTCAGCACAGCTGGCGGCTGTCTGTTGATTCTGCAGGGATTTCTCTGGGGGGAAGCATATTAAATATGACTGGCGCGGCCCTCTGGCCGTTTTGTGGCCACTAACCCGAACCACTGTAATCATGACTTTTGTTTAAAACATATATATATATTTTAATGCCATGAATGGCCCTCACTTTAGGACAAGTTGCTTGGCAGACGCCTTCCCAGGGTGTAAACAACCGCAGAGAAAAGCCCTTGTGCAAAAGCTCACACGTTTGCACCATTCCTGGGATCACGGAGGGAGTAGGCGAAGCATATCTACTCCAGGAGGTGTATCCTTTGGTTTAGGATGACAAGGAAGACTTATTTTTAATGCTATTTTCATGATTTTCTCGTAGATCACTAGGTTGCAGTACCTAGTCCAGCGCCGTCCCCCCAGGGAGTTGAGCAGCTCGGAGGGAAAGGGCTCCCTCGCACAGTTTGGGGGAAATGCATGTCAGACAGATTTGATGTTCTTTCACCTCGCCCCTCCGTGACGTGTTTGGGGAAAAAAAAAAAAAAAAAAAAAAAAACAAACAAACTTATGGTTTAAGGAACCTTCCTTTCTTCCTCCCTCCCTTCCTTCCTTCTTCCAAGAGGGACATTTAGGATCTGATTTACATGGTGTCCTCTCAGCTGCTGCTGAAAATAGATTAACTTCCGAAAAGAAATTCTTCTGCGGTCCTCTTCACCCCCGCTCCCCAGGAATCGTGTTATTGAAAACAGTCGGGCCGGCTGGCCGCTGGCGAGCTGGCTCCAGGCGCAGGGCCTCCGCCTGCGGTGCGCGCCGCTCACGGATTAGCGCGCTCGGGAACAAAGAGCCCCTGATCCCGGCCGGCGAGGACAGCGCCCGGCTGCGGGTGCGGGCGGCGCGCGGGAGCCCAGGCCCGGCCCGGGCCTCTCGGGACAGATGGGCCAGAGCCGTCGGCATCTGCCCGCGTCCTCGGGGAGGCTGCGTTATCCGCCGCCAGCATGGCCGGGAGCCCGGCCCACTGTACCCGGCGGCTGTTTCGCAGCGCGGGCCGCGTTCGGGGACTGGTTTGCAAATCCTAATGTACCCACAGACTG